CTAAATGGATTGAAGTTGAAAACCAAAAAGTTGTAGACAAACTTCAAGGCAATAAATACTCTACATTGTGCTCTATCTTCCATTGAGTTTAACAAAGTGTCAAGTTGTACCATAGCTAAACAAAAATGGGATAAACTTAGAATTATTCATGAAAGGACTTCTCAAGCTAAGAAGTCCAAAATAGCTTTCTTAACTCACAACTATGAGATGCTTAAGATGGAACCTTGTGAAGATATCACTAGCATGCTTGATAGGTTCACTAACATCACCAAAAAATCAATCAGCTAGGCAAACTAATTCCAGATCATGAAATTATCAAAAGACTTCTTAAAAGCCTACCTAAAAATTAGAAGCCAAAAGTGACTACTATTTGTGAAGCCAAGGACTTAAATGTTATCATTCTTGATGAAATTTGTGGGTCTCTTCACACTCATGAGCTGAAACTTAAAGAAAAGGAAGAAAAAGACGAGAGAAGCAAAGGAAAAGAAGAAAAGCATTGCCTTAAAAGTAAGCACTCTTGAAGAAGAATTGGATAATTTATCCTATGATGATGATGATAAGAATTAGCTATGGTTGCAAGAAGATTCAGAAAACTTATAGGACAAAGAGATAGGAGATTTGCTAAGAAAGTGTACAGAAGAGATTAAGGTTCTTCATGGAGAACCAGAAATAAAAATGAGTCCAATAAGAAGGAAGATGTTATATGTTTTGAATGCAAGCAGCCTCGACACTACAAGTTAGAATGCCCCTTATTGAAGGAAGAAACTCCCAAGAAAAATAAAAAATAAAAAAAGGTAATGGTGGTTGTAACCTAGTCTAACAGTGATGTTTCCAGCTTAAATGTTGAAAAAGAGAAAGTGGAAGAAAGAATAAATTTATGTCTGAGGCAAGAGATGATGAATCCGAGGTATGTTCTGCTCCTTGTGATATTTCTATTGATGAACTTCAAGAAGAACATGAATGTCTTTATGATAAGTTTGAAAAACTTGCATCAAAATACAAGGCTTTAAAAATAAAGACTTCATCTCTTAAGAATGACTTAAAAAAGATAAAACATGATTTTTGATCTACTTTTGAACAAAGAGTTTTCTTCAAACTGAACTTGACCATTCAAAAATAGATTCTGAAATTCTAAAATTAGAATTGGAAAATAGAACTGAAGCTTTGCAAAAAGCTATTGATGAAAATACTTCTCTAAAGAGTATGAGGAAAGAAATATCAAGAAGAAACACATACTTTAAGAAAAATTATGATAATGTCTCTTTTAGATGTTATATTTGTGATAAACTTGGTCATCTATCTTGTAACTGTTATACAAAAAGAAGCACGTAGAAAACAAAAAGGATTTGGGTTCCAAAAAGATTTTATGTAGCAGCTAACCTTTAAAGACTCATCAAGGTATGGGTACCTGTTAAGAAAAACTAAAAATTTATCTTACGGGTTAAGCCTAACTGAGAAGACATGAGTACAAGAGCTCAACTAAAGGAGAAACAAACATGGTACATGGACAGTGGTTGTTTAAGACACATGATTAGAAACGAAATGCTGTTTGCTTAATTGGATAAGAAAAAAACAATGAAATTTTTCAACGAAATTTTCCGTTCAAAATTTCTGATTGATTTCCAACGGAAAGTATTACCTACGAGGCTTTTACCAATGAATTTTCTAATAGAAATTTTCATTGGAAATCCATAGGAAATACGTATTTTCAATGAAAAATTCCATTAGAAAAAGCTTATTTTTTTGTAATGAAAGCTTATTAAGTTCAATCAATTTTGCCTTTTCAAAATAAGAATAAAGCTAATAATAAATTTTTGAAATCTAGTTCACCCCCTCGTGAATATTCCTTCATCATTGTTATTGAGCTAACCCATATAACTAAACGTGCTCCCTCTTTCATATACGGAGGATATATACATGTCCTGACAACAAACCATGTAAACTGGTGGTGGCAACAATGAAAAATATTTTATCCCTAATGTTAGGGGAATGTGGCACTTACCTTGAACCCCACATGCCTCCGAAGTTGGTGAAAGGATCTAACAGCATTTGATTGATTGCTTGAAGCCTTTTTATTTAACATGGCATAGCAGAATACGTATTTGACAATATTAAATTGTTTTATATTAAATTTATAACCAATTAACTCAATCCTATGACATATTTTTTCTTTTTAATTTGAAAAAGACATGAGTTAAACTCAAGTTTTTTTTGGTAAGAGATGTAATTATTTGTTATGGAATCAAATGTTTGAATACAATAAAAGTATTGTATAAAGTTTGAGACACATTGGTCCTCACATAATCTCTCACACATTACATTTATGAACACCTAACTCAAGCTTAATTTTGAAATTGTGTTGTTATTGGGATTCTTTTCTGAAAATTGTGATTTAAAGCAATCACAATCACAAGAACAAGTTTCTACTTACTATAACCGTCGAAACAAATTCATTAAAATTAAATATTTTTTATCATAAATTTGATTTTGTTTGAATGCCATCTAAACTTTTCATAGCTATTTTCATGCTAAAATTTGGTTAAACACCAAATAAGCTCTTAAATTATATTTTAAAAAATAATTAAAATTTTACTTTATTATTACGTTTAATTAAGTTCATATAGTTTTATTTTATATGAAGTAAGAACATATTACTAAATATTAACTAATTATCATTAATTAAAATATCAATTAGTATTTTAATGTCACATCATTTACCATATGTTATTTGGAATTATTACATTAACGAGTAAGGGATGATGTGGCAAAATGTTACTAGCTGCAACTTGAATTTTTTTTTTAACCCAATCACATGTTTTAAAATCATTGGTTTAAGAATTTAAAAAAAAATCAAAATAACCTAATTGTTTTAGCAATCAAATCAATTGCTTCCCAAATTAATTGGGATCCCTTCCATAGTTCTCTTCTCTCTCATCGCCCACCACAGTCTTCTCTTTCTTTCCTCAAATGAATCAATTTCCTTGGCAAAGAAAGAAAAATAAGATCTATTCCCTGTTCACCTTATACTCTGCGTTCTTCTCTTGTTTTTATCTTCCTTCCTCTCATGCCTTTCATTCTCTCTTTAGAGCAAGAACGTTATTGATACGGGCAGAGCTGATATTACTCAATAGACTTGAGATTGTTAACCAACAGCAGGAAGATGGCCAGTGCATAAATAAGTAGATGAGAGAATCTGAAATTGTCGACTGTTCAAGAGAAGGGTTTCTACTTATGTACTAGAATAAGTGTCCAGTGCAGTAAAAAATAATCTGTAAATTGTGGGCTTTTTGTCGAAGGAAGAATCTGATGTTTTGGTGGATAGGGATTGGGAAAGGGGTGAGATCTCCATATTGCCTTGTCTCATCTAGAATATTTTGGCAATATCTTGTTGTAGTTAACGCTGCAGCAATTTTGAAGCTGATTTTTAACTTCACTCGAGTTGCCTTACGGGGTTTGCATGTTCAGTTTCATGTACAAGAAGTGTCTGTTTTCTTTTTTTACGTCAAAGAGTCTCAATTCTTTTCTTTAAAAACAGATATGGAAACTCCATGTCAATTTTCTCAAATTTCAAATACCCATCACAATTATAGAACAGCTTCTTGATTGCTTAGATTGGTTGTTGTGTGCTTTTGTTGAAGTTGAATTGATTTTGGATCATATTAACTTTGGATGCTTGGCTATGAGTTCTCTTTGTTGATGAAATGGGTTTTGTATGACCAGAGGCGGCTTTAGGGTAAAGTCATCGAAACAAGAGCAGTAAGTATCGTAATTTTATGATAATAATATAATTAATTATGTTAAAAATATATAATAATTAAAATAATTAATAAATTATTTACTTATTTCTTCATGTCTAATAAATGTTTATTTTTTTTTATTTTCATACCTTTATCAGCTTTCAACTCTTTATTTTAGTTTTCATTAAAAATATGTAAAAGTAAAAAAAAAATTAATAAAATGGTATATTCTCTTACTTTTCTATTTATATTCCTAATAAATTTTAATTTTTTATTTTTTTAATTTTCACAATGCTATTAATTCTCTACTACTTTTTTTATTCCCAATCAAGAAAATATGTATTTAATAATCTTTAAACGCTATGTTTTTCTTATATATAAAATTAATTATTATTTTCTTTTCAATTTATAATAGGTAATTATCAATTTTCTTTTCATTTGTTCTTTGTTCGTTAACTTCAATAAAAATAAAAACCTTATTTTTTTAATTTCAATAAAAAAGTCTTATTTGAATATATAACTTTAAATTTTTGAAATTATTGAACCATTCTTGTATATGACTTTTAATTCAAACTAATTTGAATGTGTATTATTATCATTTTTCATAATTAATATTTTAACATCAATTGAAATTAATAACTTATTTTAGATCAACTTTAAACTGGAAGTTGATTTGGGAAGGAACCCATTAATTAGATTGCCAAACCAATAAAGTTATTTTAATTTTTTTTAATCTCTAAACCAATAAATTTAAGACATGTGATTATATATAAAAGAAAAAAAAATCAAGTTTTAGTCAATACCATTTCTACCACATCATTTACCACATGATAGTATAATAATCCAAAATGACATATCAATATTAGAATACTAATTGTCATTTTGACTAAGAAAGTTAACGAACAATTACTAATATAATTTATTTAATGTAAAAAAAAAATATAAAAAATTAATTAAAAAGTATAAAATTATGACAATTTAATTAATTTTTTAATATAATTTAAGAACTTATTGAAGTATTTAATCTTAAAATTTTGACGTAATATGCAAAATATTTATAGATTTAATTTTTAAAAAAAAGAAAGGAAAAGGAAAAGAATTTGCATCAACCAAAGAATATGCTAAAGTTGGTTCCAATTATTTTTGGTTAAGTAAATAAATTCCCGAGTCGGGGCACGTATTCGAAGTGGGCCCATCCCTTTGGTTAGGCGAAAAGGAGAGGGCCATCACAGGTCGAACAAAAACCCAACAAGTGTCCAAAAACCAGTTAGAGTAGTTTTTAATTTTTGTTTGCTTTCTCTTCACAAAAGAAGCGCCAACGAATTTGGATCCAATTCCTCTGCATCGTATCTTCATCTAATCAACATCTCCCACACTTAGCTTATATTTGAAAGGCCACCAACTCTTCTCTTCTCCTCTCCTTCCTTTCATTCTTTTGCAGTTAGGTTACTCTCTGTCGCTTCATTTTCTTCTGCTACTTCACTTACTATAATAATCTTTTATTTTTTCATTTATTTGTTTAACTTTTAATGGAATCGTAATTCTTCATGTGATCGCAGGTGAGCTTTTCAGAAGCTCCGACTTGACCCATTCAGGTAGTTGATCAATTTTCAGATTTCTTTTTTCTTTTTTTAATTGAAGTATTTTACTTTTAATTTAAATTGTGTGAATCGATTTTTGATTAGATTGTTTCCTTGCAATGTAATTACTACAAGTATTAGCAGTTTCTTTCTGTAAATGGAAAATTTTTCATATTTTTGTGGCATTTGTCGATAACTTAGAATGGTTTCGCTTTTGTTAGTCTTAAAAACCTTGTTACTAACTTATGGAGGAATTGAATTATCTTTCTTTTTTCTATGGCATTTTTGTCAATAGTCTTGAAAAGTAGTTTCTTCCATATAACCCTAACTCAATTCAGAGTAGTGATTGCTTATCACGTTACAGGATTCTAATTGGTACTATAGGCATGGATCGGATTGCAATGGGGGCACGTCTCATGATAGTATCTGATCTTGATCATACAATGGTATGTTTTGAACTTGAATATTTGCTTTAGTTTCTCAGAAAATGTCATGTCTGCGCTCGTGCTGCGGTTACTTAATTTGATGTGATGATCTTCATTTTTGCAGGTTGATCACCATGATGCTGAGAACATGTCTTTGCTTAGGTTTAATGCGCTGTGGGAGTCAAATTATCGTCATGACTCCCTTCTGGTTTTCTCCACTGGGAGGTCGCCCGCACTTTACAAACAGTTGAGGAAAGAGAAACCCATGTTGACTCCCGATATAACTATTATGTCAGTGGGAACTGAGATAACATATGGCAACTCAATGGTGCCGGATGATGGTTGGGTTGAAGTTCTGAATCAGAAATGGGATAGGAACATTGTCACTGATGAAACAAGCAAGTTTTCTGAGCTCACTCTTCAGGTATAGTTAATAGATATCAGCAACTGCGACATTATATCTAATCTTACTATTATTCTGTTGAGAGTGTCTTGAATGTATCTGGAATTATAGGACCTAGTCTTGACAAATGCAAGCATGTTGGATCATGCAGGCAGAAACGGAGCAGCGACCACACAAGGTCAGCTTTTATGTTGATAGGACTAAGGCCCAGACAGTGATGAAGGAACTTTCAGAATGTTTGCAAAAGCGAGGGGTAAGATTCAGCTTACTACCAAGGATATGTTGCACCCAATCATGTACTTTTGCCAAGTAAATATACTTTGAAAGATATACATCAGATCACATGACATTGGTATTTATTTCTTCTTCATCTTGCTTGCTTAATTGTTGCATATTCATTGAATGTTAATATTATTTATCATTAACTTGTGTTTTATTCTGGGCCAGCTGGACATTAAAATAATTTATAGTGGAGGAATGGATTTGGATATATTACCACAAGGTGCAGGCAAAGGGCAGGCTCTTGCATATTTACTAAAGAAGTTTAAGGCTGAGGGAAAACCACCTGGTAATACTCTTGTATGTGGTGATTCGGGAAATGATGCTGAACTCTTCAGCATTCCAGAAGTGTATGGAGTCATGGTTGGTATTCTTCTGCTTTTTTAAATAATCCAGAGTTATTAGCCCATCAGAAAATTACAGTAGTCTTCGTGGCTATTTCTGTTTCATTAATTCCCTCCCCTTCTCCTCCACCCCCCCTGCAGGTTAGCAATGCCCAAGAAGAATTGTTGCAATGGCATGCTGAAAATGCAAGAGGTAACCCTAATATAATCCATGCAAAAGAAAGGTGTGCTGCTGGGATCATAGAAGCCATTGGACATTTTAACCTCGGTCCAAACACTTCTCCAAGAGATGTTGCTGATTTTATGGAATGTAAGCTGGAAAATGTCAATCCTGGTCATGAAGTAGTGAAATTTTACTTGTTCTATGAGAGATGGAGGCGAGGGGAGATTGACAACTGTGAGGCATATATAACAAGTCTAAAAGCTTCTTGTGTATGTTTACCGCCCGTTCTTTACTTTTAATGTTATGTTTTTGTCATGGTAGTTTTCAGTTCATCAGAATTTGGACATCTTACATTCCTCTTACTATTAGGAAAAAAGGAAACAAAGACAATAACCATGTAACTATATCTGCATCTTCTGATTGATGAATTATTAATGTTTATTGGCCTAGAGGTGACAATTCAATGGTTTGGATCAGGCCATTACAAGTCAAGGGAAATTCTGGTCATCTTTGGGTTTGGGTTGTTTTGGGCTTTTGGATCATCTCAGGTTTGGGTAATTTCAGATTTGTGTATTTTGGGGCAAGTTTAATTCAGGCTTGAATCATTTCGGGTTCAAGTTGTTCAAATTATTTGGTGTTCGAATTTTGTCATTCAGGTTTGAGTCATTTTGGGTTTGGTTCAATTTAGGTTTGGGTCGTTTTGTGTTCAGGTTTGGTGGGTTAGGGTTGTTGACTTTTCTGGTCAAATCGGGTTGATTCAGGTTCGGGTTCAGGTCGGCTTTGCCAGCTCTAGCTATTGCTCTAACTTTCCTCCATTTGTTTATTCTAGTTTGGTGCATCATTGGCTTCTATTTCTTGTTCTAACTAGAATTCTTTACACATTTGAAAGTTGATTAAATTCCATCTCTATACAGATTGAATCAGCTTTATGGTAGATAGGCATGCAAGTGAATCAAATGTTTAAAACATTCCATCATTGCATTTTTCTACATGATTTTAGACATGGAATTCTTTATTGTCATTATGTTTTCCATCATTATTATTTGTACAATGTAACCCACCTACCCCATCCCAATACTCACAAAGCCAGGGCTCTGGGGGTTGGAAAAGTTATGGTATAGTAGGGTATGCATGCTAGGTAATTAGGAAAACAGATAGATAAAAGTGTACAGATTTGTTCTTCTGCAATATTATGTCTAAAACTTGATTTTATTGTAAGATGATACATGCAACTGAAGGTTTGAATTTGTCAATGGGTGTGTATCTACTATTTGGAGTGCATGCAATCAATTCTTGGACAAGTGTGTGGTTATAGATCTACCAAGCCCCTGTTGAATTTTAACAAATAATTGTACTGATTTGTTTCTTGAATCAAACATAGCTGCTAAGAAAACACTGGTTTCATTTTTCCTTTTACCTTTTCCTTTTATATGAATAAAATCTAATTTTGAGTGTTTGAAGCTTACTACTCAGTCATGCTTTAAATTTTTATTATTTTTCTTCAGGATCCAACTGCTGTATTTGTCTTTCCGTCTGGAGTTGAGAGAACTCTTCATGAATGCATACACAGAATGAGAGGTTGCCATGGAGACCAAAAGGGTAAACAGTTCCGGGTCTGGGTGGATAGTGTATTATCGACACCTACTGGCTCAAGCACCTGGGAAGTGAAGTTTGATAAGTGGGAGTTATCCGGTAAGAGTTTTTTCTTAATAAATTGGCTAAATCAGTTGGTCATTGTCTTCGCATTTGCAGACAGCTTTTCTTGCAAGCATGCTGATATTGTATGTTCAATTCAAAAACCAGTATTATGAACTTGTGCTAGGATGCATGGTTTTTTTCAGCATGTGCTCTACCTTATATAGTTAGGAAGCTCCTGAGAGCAACTGAATTCTATCTTTATGTTCTTGTGACTACCTATGAGTTTCTACTTTTGTATTGACTTGCTAATTCTCATAGGTGACGAGCAGTATTGTTGTGTGACCACAGTTAAACTAAATGCGAAGGTAAGAATTGTAAAATCTTAATATGTTAATTTGTCCCTGAAGATTGCTTAACATAATTATGTTCTAAGATGATTGCATTTGGGTTTTGCAGGGGTCCAGTGCTTCGGCCGGGTATACTTGGGTGAATGTGCAGCAGAAGTGGTTAGAAGGATTTGAAAAGAAGGATGACTCAACCTGGTTGTTCTAATATTCTGCAACATCTTGACTCCAGAGTCAGTATGAAGTTGTATTGAAATAAATGTATTCAAATTTTACTGGTCTTTTTTTATACACCAATGGAGATGGCACTATGATGAGATAAACTGAGATACCAGGGCTTCTATATCTTCTTGGATATCTATTGTTTTCTTAGTATGATACTATCCATGTTCTTGCAGTTTATAGTAAATGATTATATGAATTTAGTTTCCGTTTTAAACATTTACTCATTTATAATAAAATAGTACAATTTCAACTTTTACAATTTGATAAATAGTAACAAAATGCAAAATAAGAATAATAATAATCCCAAAATTTAGTTCGAGGAAGAAACAAACGAAACGGAAACCAAAATCAGTCCGGAAGAAAGATGAAGAAGGCCCACTTGCTGCTTTCATTATGAGCGAAGTTACGCTTTTGTAGCACAAGCCCACTTAAGCACTATTTCCATCTAAAAAATGAATTATTTTTAAAGGGCCCAACCGGGTTCGAACCGGTGACCTCTTGATCTGCAGTCAAATGCTCTACCACTGAGCTATGAACCCAATGTGGTTTAAGGGTTGCCAAACATCAATACGTTTAGCAACATAGATTCAGCAGGCTCTGCCATGAATTTAAACGGGAAAAGGTCAAAATTAAAATAAAAACTATTAAATTAATTTTTGATTAAGTATATGATTCAATTGTTTTCGTGGTAACCATACTTTTCAACCTTTTTTTTTAGGTATATAGCAATGAAATTAAAAGGTAACCCATCGGTTATACCTTCATTCTTAAAAAAAAAACCTTTAAATTTTAAGTGTAAAGTTATTGTATGAGCAGCAAATAATTTCGTAACTACTCGGTATGATATTATTGGGTTTCATCCTCATATAAAATTGATCTGGATTGGTTTGGTAAGCGAAAAATAACTTGGATGAGAATTTGTTTTATGTAAATATTTTATAGGATAATTTAATATTTTTTATTATTTGTATAAATTGTAGAAAATCTTTTTTACTGTTTGAATTATCTTCTGAAAAATATTTTCATTGTTAATATACCTATGAAAATATCAATATTTATCAATTGTGCAAGATATTCAAAACTTAATTTTAAGCATTAAAAATTTATATAATAATAAAATAACTAAAAACATATATGTAGTTCAAAATTAATAATCATACATAACAAAAACATTCCACATTAATAATTAATCATCTCAGAAATATTTATCTTAAATAATAAAAACTATTACGAAAATATAACTAACCGTCTAACAAATATTATCTTAAATAATAAATAATTTTTTTAGCTCTTAAAAATGTCTTGCGCCACGAAAGGTGTAAAATGAGTGTTTTTCTCATGGATTCATAAAATGTCTTACATCTATAACGTATTTTTAATCTTCCAAACAAATAAAAATCCTAAAAACTTTTTTTAAAATTTATTTTATGTCCAAACAAACAAACAATGTTTCACCCTGAAAGCAAAATTGTAAGATTAATATACGTAAACACCCATCGACACTAGTGAAATTCCTCTCATAGTTTTTTCCTTTCGTTTTTTTTGTAATTGCTATGATAATCCATCATCAGGCCTCCATTTAGTAAGACAAGATACAACCATGATTAGGAGTGTGCAGCAGTCGATTGCAACTGAGCAACCGATATCAGCCATCAGTCAATTGGTTCGATCCCTCGGGGGGGGCTCCCACCCCTCGAACCGATCGAGAAACCAACCTCCGCCTTTTTTTTCCCACCTTCATCCCTTCCCCCTAAATTAAAAGAGAAACCAACCGGCCAACCCCCTTTCCCCCCTAGTGAAATTCCCCCAATTTGCAATCTTCCCCTCCCCTGAACCCTAACTCTCTTTATTAGCTCACCTATTCATTGCCCTTCCATTTGCTACCACAGGTGTCACTCTAGACTGTTGTCAACCACCTATTCTTGCCTTTCTTGGCATCAATTAGCAAGGTAAACCCAATGAAACATATATTTGATTTGTTTTTCTTAGCTGTTGGTTTTATGAAAATAGCAAGAGAGAGAAAATGATTCCAAGGGATTAGAAAAAAAATGTTATGTTTGGTTGAGTATCATATGTTGTTTTTTCACTTGAAAAAAATAATATTAATGCAAATAAAAATAATTCTAAAGGGATTAGAAAAAAAATGATATGTTTGGTTTTTAATTTTTGGGAATTAATTTTTTCTTAATCATAGATTATTTCAACCTTAGTTGACATTAAACATTTCAAAGAGCTTAATGTTTAGAATTATTGTTTTAATAATCAATTAAAATAATTTGCAATATGCTAGAATTAAACATTAAAAATTATGCTTGGGAATTATGTTGAGAATTATTGTTTGGATTTTCAATTTGGATTTTCAATTAAAATGATTGGTAATATGCTAGAATCAGACATTAAGAATTATGTTTGGGAATTAATGTTTAGAATTATTATTTGGATTTTCAAATAAAATTATTCGCAATATGCTAGAATTAATGATTGGAATTCATATTTGGGTTTTTTTTTTTTTATGTAGATGTCAACAAATAAGGAAACAAATTTGACAACTAGTGAGACACCAACACTAACACCAACATCAATACCATTAACATCTACACCTCATGTTACTGCTAGTTCTACTGAAGCCAATAAAAAATGTGAGGTAGTAAGCAAAATGCAGAAGCAAAGGGAATCACCTCAACTTACATTGATTATGTGGGATTACTTCACCAAATTTGTTGATAAGAAAGGTAATAAGAAAGCTAAATGTTTCCATTGTGGTAAAGAATTGTGTGTTGAAACAAAAAAAAATGAAACATATTCATTGAATAATCATATTAAAGTTTGTCCGAAGTTGAAATTCATTCATGATAGTGAGGAGAACAAGCAAATGGAATTAGGTTTTGCTATAGGAGGAGATGGGTTGGATAGTTGGAACTTTGATCAAAAGGTAATTAAGAAAAGTTTAGCTGAGATGATTATTTTAGATGAATTACCTTTTAAGTTTATGGAAAATCATGGATATAAAAAACACATAAACAAACCATGTCTTAAATTTTGTATACCATCATGATGGACTATTGCTAGGGATTGTTATAAAGTTTATACTAATGAAAAAACTCGAATGAGAAGATTGTTAAGATCGTGTCCTTGTAGAATATGTCTCAACGCTGACACATGGACTTCAATTCAAAGAATTAATTATATGTGTTTGATTACCCATTTTATTGATAATGATTAGAAGTTGTAAAAAAGGATTTTGAACTTTTGTCTCATTGCTAGTCATAAAGGTGAGGCCATCGATAAAGCAATTAGTAAATGTTTGCTTGATTGGGGGATCCAAAATATTTTTTTCTATCACTGTTGATAATGCAATTCAAATGATGTTGTATTAGGACATTTGAAGAAAAAATTTAATGTTGCTAGAGTTAATATTTTAAGATGTTGATTTGTTTCATGTGAGATGCATTGCTCATATTGTTAATCTTGTGGTGTTTAATGGATTGAAGGATATCAATACCTCAATTACTCATGTTTAAGGAGTGTGCTATTAGTGTAGGAGTTAAGAGCAAGTGTTTATTGTGTTTGGAAATGACCACTAGATGGATTTCTACTTTTTTAACATTGGATACAACTTTGAAATTTCAAAAGGCTTTTGCCTCATTTGAGTTACGTAATAATAACTACATACTTGAGCTATAAGGTTGAGAGATGGGGTGCCTAATGACAGAGATTTGGCAAATGTTAATAGGATTTCTCCTTTCTTGGGAGAATTTTATGATTTGACCATGAGTGTTTCAAGCACATCTTACATAACTACTAATTTTTTTCTAGATTCCATTTTTGATGTGTATACCAATTTCATTGAATGGCAAAATGGTGATGATGTTGATTTACGGTCTATGGCAATTAAGATAAATAAGAAGCTTGACAAGTATTGAGGGAATGTAGACAAAATGAATTTGGTGTTGCTCATTACCGTTATATTTGATCTAAGGAAAAAGCTTTCTTATGTTGAATTCACTTTACTAGAAATGTATCCTCCCACACAAGCTTCAATCATGTTTTCTTTGGTGACACAAACAATGGATGAGTTGTTTCGTTGTTACAGAAATATGTTACAACCTCCACCTCATGTTGGTGAAAGTGATTAAGAGTGTCCAACATCCATGCAACAAGGCACTAGTGGTAGTTGTAATGATAGTGTTGCTTCAACTTTGATTAGCAAAGACACAAAATGTACTAAAAAAATATTAGATAGATTCAAGAAGCGCCAGTTAAACATTAGGTCAAAAAAGCTAAAAACGGAATTGGAGAAATATTTTTCTGAGCTTGTGGATGATGAGGGTTTTGATGATGATGAGTTTGTTGTTCACATTTATTGGAAACTCAATTAGTTTAGGTTTAATATACTTGCCGCTATTGCTCGTGATGTTATGGCTATTCCTTGTATCAATAGTTGCTTCAGAATCTACTTTCAGTACTAGTGGACATGTGCTTGATGCATATAGAAGTTCTTTGATTCCTAAAGTCATGAAAGCACTTATTTGTGCTCAAGATTGGTTATGTGGATTGGCACATGGTGATTCGAATTTGATTGAGAATGATTTAGACAAGCTCGATAAACTTGATTTTGGTAATTATTTTATAGTTTTTTTAATTTAATTTATTAGATTTGCTAAAGATCAATTTATCATATTTGTTATTTTATTTTTTAAATTTGGCTAATATTGCATTGGAGACAATAGTTGAGTCAAGCCTAAATCGGACTAATGTGTTATATCTTTTGGTTATTTGCACTTTTCAAGTAATGTTATCATTAGGAACTATCCAATATTTACATTACATTTATAATTTATGTAGGATATCTTACCACAATAATTTACATTAATTATATATTTGCTTTTAACCTTTTTAAGAGCATGTTTTGCAAAATCCTTGAATTGGAGTTGGACGTTCATCTTTTGAAATTTAGTAATTTATGTTGTGAAATTTTAATTGTGTAACTTCTAATCCAAAATTAAAATCATGAAGGATATCTCTTCTTTGTTTATTTATTGCATGAAGATTAATGTTAATTTCTTTGTGATCATATTTAATTAATTGGCTTAAACTTATAGAACTTTTGAAACTAATGTTTATTTATTATATAAAGATGACTATTATTAACTATTTAAAAGAAATAAATAGGTCCAAAGGATTATATATAAATAAATGTATCCAAAATAGCCA